TCGCGCATCCATGAAAAAAGCATACGATAACAAACACAACGTAGACTGCGCGAAACATCCAGCAATAGGCGATAGAGTATACGTCAAATGTCCCGCTGAAAAGGGTAAGAAAGAGCATCCAAAACTCTCGTGCGAATGGTCGGGACCTTTCAGAGTGATAGCAGCAAGCCAAAACTCAGCAACGGTCACAAGAATAGGCGAGAACAGTGACCCAGTACAGATACCAATAGACCAGTTGAGGATCGTACCCTCGTGTATCCCAGATGACAGATTGGATACAGTGACCAGTAGAGGAAAAAGAGGGTCGTATAAAAATAGTTATACGTGTCCCAAGAAGTGCACACTTGACTGGAGCAGGACACACTTTTTCGCTTTCAGTCTCAAGCCTGCTCTTCTCATCCGATCGCAGACTTCTCGTAACAATTCCATGTGACGTTCGCGTGTATCAGTGCATATCATCACGTCGTCAATATAGCAGAAGACTTCTTCACCGAGCATTTCTTTGAGGACTGTGTCCATTAGTCTCTGGAAGACGGCGGGGCTAGTGCTAAGCCCGAATGGAGTCACTTTGAATTGATATAAACCCTCCGGTGTGGTGAAAGCGGACTTGTGTTTCGAGTCTTCGTCTAACGGTATTTGCCAGTAACCGCTACACATGTCCAGGGTTGAAAAGTATCTCTTTCCGGCCAGACTTCCTAAGATTGCATCGATTGTCGGTATTGGGTAGGAGTCTTGCCTGATGCATTTGTTGAGTTCACGGTAATCGACGCATAGTCTGATGCCTCCGTCTTTCTTCTCAACAAGTACGATTGGGAATGCCCAGTCTGAATTGCTCTTTTCTATGATTTTTCTGTTTTCCAAGTCCTGCAACATCTCTCTCAGTCTTCCTCGTAGACCTAACGGAACCGGGCGTGTTCTTAGCTTAATCGGCTGGCTATTTCCTGTGTCAATACTCATCTTGACCAAATCCGTCTGATTTAGCTCTCTTTCGCACACAGCGAACACGTCAGCATAATTAGTCAAAAAATTTGTAAGGTCTTTGTCGATATAGCTTTCTTTTCTGTTTTGTTGTATTTGTTCCTTAAGTAAGTTTCGCTTCTCTTCGATGCTCATACTGACGTTTCCTTGTTCCAGCATGGTGCAGTCTTCCCATTTTGTGGACCACTTTTCAGTTCCCCATTCTCCGAGTTTTTCTCCTTTCTGTATTACCATAGGATGATGATCTCGGTTTCGTATGGGTACAGTAATTTCCTTACTTTGTACTTTATACACTCCACTGTTTATGCCTTCTTTGGTTGCCCATATGATGCCTTCCATGGTTCCCTCTGGAACTTCGCACACTGCAGTGACTGAACGCACGCAAAGTGCGGGAATTACTACCCGGTCTGCCGCCAAAACCGATCTCGCGGAAGCACTTTCCCTTGTTTCTACCTCTCCTTTTCCTGCGTGTCGTGATATGACCATTTGCACCCCGAGTTTGCTCAGTGCATTTGTTCCCAGTAGGATCTCATTGCTCCTCTCATTTGAGATGTGGAAGGCGATTTCACTGGGGTTTCCACCTTGCAGTTTCACCTGGATCCTTACTATTCCTAGGAACTTCATGGGGTTATTGCTAGCATCATATATTGTCTCCATCTGGCTGTCGTCTTCTCTTTTTAAGGTTTCCACGTCGAATCCTTTGTAGTAGGCGTTCGCTAACACTTGTAGCGGAATTATACTTATCATCGATCCAGAGTCAAGTAAGGCTTGTGTCATATCATTTAATAGTTCTGCATTTACTACTAATTTTTCACCGATTATGTCTGTTGTGAGATTTTTCTCTCTTTTACTTGTTAGTCCCATGGAACGTGCGCTCTCGATCATATCTACCAGCGACTTTCTTTCGCTCCCTTTTCGGGTTTCTCTCGCGTCGTTACCTACTTGGGTTATCCTAGGCTCTTTCTGTATGCAGTTTCTAGCAAGGTGGCCCAACGTACCACAATTGTAGCACCTACGGGACTCTTCGTTGTTAGTCGGGACCTCTTGCCTCTCTCTTGGGCCCTGGAATTGCGTTTCTCTTTGGGAAGGTGCCCGACCAGGCGCTATTGTATTTCTAGTGTTTTCGTTTCTCCGATGATTCCGTAGTTGCTCCGCGAAGCGCTCTCCCTGTTCATACTCACGGGCTCTCACCTTCCAACTCCGCTGAGGAACCACGACGTGGGATGAAGCGCGCCTGCTGTTGATTAGGTTCGCTTGTTCAATGCTAATCGCTAGCTCTTTTACTTTTTCGTAGACATACCTTGGGTCTACGTCGTGTAAAGCACTCAAAATCTGAACTTGTTCTGGCCAGTGTTTTAGGTTTTCTAGAACAATTTGCGCATAGTCCATTGACCGGTCTTCAATTGTGCACTCAGGGTACGCTTTCCTACCAAGCGCCTCCAGCACTACGCAAAAATCAGCAACACTTTGCCCCGGCCGCATTTTCAGATTTCGCAAGTCAGTTTAAGGATCGCATCCTCGCCGTTGTGGATTCGTGCGCAAGGAGGCTACCTAGTTCTTCAATGACTGCTTCAAATCCTAGATTTTTTTTGCTTGACGGCATGGCTATAAAAAGACTTTTAGCGCGACCTCCTAGTTGGTCATCTCCCAATATTCCGATCAATGTGAAGTCATCATTGATCACGGGGCAGTATCTCCTGCGAAACCGCCTCACAAATTCTGCGAAGTTTTCTTTGTCTCTGCC